GCATCCAACTTGTGGAGTACTTGATTGGAAGGGTGATACTAAGGTAACACGAACTGGAGTAGTGAGAGAAGCGGTACATGTATAGAAGGTTTGTGACAAAGGATTAGTCTTATCAAGATTAGAAGCACCTCTGGTGCTGTATAATGACTAAGAATAGAAGATAACCATCTGTATAGAGAAGTTGTAGCCTGTTCTGTATGTCTAAAGATTCCAAACCAGAGCTCTGATCACACCTATATGGAAGCCTATGGCGAAACAAGTGAAATATACCAACATAAATGCTGTACCAATCATGGTTGAGATATCTAAATTGGAAATAGAAACCTACTCGAACATGATGTGAATACCTTAGTCTAAATGTAGATTTGGGTTAGGATGTTCTTAAAAAGGCAGAAGGATTGCCTGTAGTTGGAAACAGAACAAAGAAAAACCTGCAGCATGGTGTGACAGTAATAGAAATGTTGATTAATGGTTGGAAGAGGATGTGTACTCATCTCTGAAATAGAATTCCATCTATATCATAAAAGGAAGTACTTAAGAGGCAGGTTAAATGCACAATCCATTGGAAATAATGCTAAAACCAAGAAGGATTGCAAACCAGTAGCGGTAGCAGAAACCTGACTTGAGATACGTGCTACCAGTACCTGAATTAGGAAGTTAGCAGTGGCAGCAAGAATCTGGCTTGAGATACATGCTAGAGAGGCACCCTTTGGGCAAACCAAAGATAGTAACTCAAAAGGAGCAAACGACCCAGTGGACCAATTTGAGAGTTGTAAAAATAGGTTGTAAGACATGAGGGGAATATATAGGTTATCTAATATAATTAGTAGTGAAACTAAAATCCAGGTTAGGTGTGAGTAGGACACAATACAAAACTCTGGTAGGTTTAAATTGCAGATAAATATGTCTAAGTCCTATGTCTGAATAGATATATAGTGATAGATGATGTATAATAGATTTGTACTAGCTATAACAAGTATACTAATAAAGACTAGAGGGCATGACCTCACCTTAATACTGAAAAAAAAATTCTTAGTGTTAGTTGAAAAAATTTTACATTGATTAAAAAAAAATTTGAAAAAAAATTGATCATTTAATTTCCGGACCATCATCTGGACCATTATCTGAACCCAACCTGGTACACATTTTCTAGATGCTTAAAATGAAATGAGTGATGTCAAATAGACAAGTCACTGAAAAATACAAATTTTGAGGTGCATTTTTTTGGCATTTTTTTAGGGCTATAATTAGTGTTTAGAGTTAGAGTTTATAATAAACAAGTATAAGTGGGTTTTAGAGGATCAAATAGAAATCCCTCATTTCCTTTTGATCTGATTTCATTATGATCTGCAACAATCAATACTTATATTTTTAGCTTCGAACATTAACGTTAACAGTACCAGCTATAGTGCATTGCTAATTTGTGGATCAATAATCAAACGTATATCGATTTTATACTGTAGTTTATTAAACACTTGTAGATCTACAAAAAATTAATCAAAAAATTCTCCTAACACCTGATCTTTCGATCTTATTGGATAAAAATCACGGGGGTCTTGTGGGAAAGCTACCATACTTAAAACCATGTACTCACATGATTTTGACGTTTTATTAAAATTAAGGTTAGGTAGAATTGCCTTTCCGACATTTTTAGTTAGTACCACAAGACAGGTTTACATGCTGTTTTTCGTCTTTTTGCGTTTTCTTTATTTTTTGCCAACTTCGGACTGATTCGTGTAAACAAAAATTCATAATTCCGGTTGGTTGATTTATATAAAAAAGCAACGTGGGTACATGGCTTTAGACGACCCCATACTTAGCGTTGGTTTTTTACAAGTCTTCAATTTCTACTATTAAACCGTTGCTTAATTATTGTAAACTAATTGTTGATTACAATTGAAAAATGTTTGACAAACTAATCGTTGATTATCTAAATAGTGATTGAAATTTTTTACATAACCCCACAATGAAAATTTCAAAATATCACGTGAGCACATGATACTGTAGTACAATATTAATCACTTCTCTTAAAAGACTAGTAATAACAATAATAAATGAAAAGTGGATCAATTGTACGAATGGCAATGAATAATTTAATTCTGCTAGAGATTCTTATAATGTTATAGATGATTTAACTGACAATGTACGATTAAGACAAAATAGCTTTGGATATTAGCCTGAATGAAGATAACAGACGGTAGACAGAGACACGGAAAATTTGGGTTGATTATTCGCAAAAATTTATTTTGAAAATCGCAAATATTTAGTCTTTGCTGTCAAATTTATCCTTTCGAAAATCCATTTTCCATTGAGTTGATGTAAATTTACTGCCTAGGTAACCTACTTATACACTTTAAAATATAGGTTTTGCCAGCAAGTATAAATATAACAGACACTGAAGTAAAAACTAGCATGGAGGACGATAATTTCCAGGATCTATGTTACATGAGTATTTATATTGATAGTAGCGCAAAACCAGAATTCAGGTATAATTAAAAAACTTTTTTTTTTTTTTTTGGTATTAAGGTGAATTAAAAAACTTTCTTAAAAATTGTATTATATAATAATATATACATATATTATATGTATTAGTATATTTGACAAAAATCTGTTATTTTATTTTAATTTCAAAAGTATTTGATATTTAAATTTATGTAAGCTTATACTTGCTTTAATATATTTATAACAAGTAATATTATTGGTTTATTTTACATCTTAAAATTTTTAAAAATACTAACTAATACTGTATATATATATTTAATATATATAATTTATTTAATAAAAAATTAAATTGTAATATAAATAAATATACTATTACTTATAATTGCATATTATAAGTAATAAAATAAAAAATAAATTATAAATAAAATAAATTATCCTAATTTTTAAAACTCTTTATTCATTTTAAATTTGCAATACTATTTTTATTTATTTTAGATTTTTTGAAATAAAAATTATCTAAAAATATAAAATAATTACAGATTCAAAAAGTAAAATTAAATTAAAATTTATATTAAAACAATAATAAATTATAAAACAATAGTTTTATTAACAATCTGCAAATAATTTATTTAAGTAGATTAGATCAAATAACTAAGCAAATATTTACTATAGTTCTACTATATAAATATTTTATTTTAATTATTATAATGCAGATTTTTTTAATTAATAAACTGTTAAGTTTTTTTTTCTTTAAAATAAAATTAAAAAATATTTTTTATAGACTAGATTAATATTAGTAACTGTATTGTCTATTAAAAATAAAAATTATAATAAAAAATTAATTATGTTTAGAGTGTTGTTAATTTTTATTCTAGGTGATGTTACCCCTTTATATGTAAAACTAATTAAAATAAAAGAAGAAAAATTAAAAAATTACAAATATTTCAAAATTTTATTATAAAAACTAACTTTAAGCAATTAAGTAAAAATTTTTAACACATAATTTTGAATATATGTAATCTATAATCCTAACTCTAACATAAATTTAAACCCTAATCCTATTCTTTAAAAGTTTATTTTATTTATTAATTTTATAATACAGATGATGTCACCTAGATTGAAAATTAATTATATTTTTATGCTTATTATTAACTAAAAAATTTTATATATTATATTTGCAATGTTCTCTTAAAAAGAGTTAAAAATACTGATTTTTTTAAAAAAATATATCAGCCTTAACCAATATTTTAATAAAATTAAAACCAATTTGTTTTTTTTTCATCGTAAGGTTTATTAAAAATGATAATTGCATATTGAATATAAGTTTTTTAAAATTTTTTAATGTTAAATACAAAGTTTTTTTTTTGATTCATAGGTAGAAGATGTCAAATGATTATCTATTACTGTTTTTTTCATGATCCACAGTGGTTTGATAAAACCAACAAAACAGTTTCCTTCCATCTGCATAAAAGTCATCTTTGTACAAGAGATTTCTATAAAACTGTTCTGTGACTATAACAATATTGCTTTACGTTTTCTTAATTAAACATCCAACTTTTTTTTATTAACAAGCCAGAATTGAAAAAAAATATTTATAACCGTTTTATAAACAAATATATATATATATATATTTGTCTTCATTAAAATCTTGAATATCCAAGAACAATCGCTTTTACTGTTTTATTGATCTTATTGTTCTCATTGTAATATTTATAATATCAGATCTACCAATCATGTTTGAGCCACATGACCAGGATACTTTTTGCTCGATTAATCCTGGGTAGGTACAAAAATTACCCAAATTGGTAGGACTTGTAGGTGTCCGGAGACTTTCCCTCTTATTTCACAGAAACTTATTTCGTAGCAACAACAATCAATTCACCGACAAAGTAATTATACCAGAATTATGTTTAAGGTGTCGGTGAATTGATTTTCGGTGAAGTGTTGTGTTTACAAAATGAGTGTCGGTGAAATAAGGCGGATTCCTTAGTAGTCAACTTAAGTTGTCAACTAAACAATGAAATATATATGAATTTCTTGCATACTCATACATATTCATTAAGCATGATATTAATCAGCGATTTGAATCGACTACAAACACTAAGTTGCCAACTAATCGGCTTGAAATTTTTTTATCAATTCGGAACGTTGCGATTCATTCATTTCTTTATTGTATTAATTAGGTTTGAACGGAGGGAAGTCCTTCCATAACTAGATGAGAGAAAAAAGACCAGAACAAATATCTACTAATCTAATTAGGGATTCCTTCTTGTAATGAAAGTTTTTGTCTTTATAAATTACTAACAAAGGTGATGATATAATACGAAGTCAATAATTACTGGGGGCTAACAAAGAAGTAAACATACAACTCATTGGGAAATAAAAGATGCAGGATGTATTTTTATGCGAATTAAGTATCTGATAGTTAAAGACAATACAGACAGGATTAATTAATAGCATAATCTAGAGATCGTATTGTTTTTGATTAAATAAGAATGCTGAAATTAACCAATATATTTAAGTAAGCGAAGCTACACCTTTTCACTTAACTCACAACCATGAGTAAAGAAAATAATGATGCAACAAAGCCGAAAGACACAAACTTTTCAGCTAAATCATTGCACGGCTTAGATAAGAAAAGAGACCTGATAACGGCAAGAAATAGTTGTCTTCAAATATCACAAAACAAAACTACACTTTTGCCATTGAGACCTCCATCTTCCAAATTCTCCGGATTAAATTATTCATCAAAATCAGCATCTTCCGTCGAATCTAGCATTAAATACTTTGAAAAACTAGCTTCCAAAGTTATTCCTATTAATGAAGAAAAAACAAAACCCATGCCATTATCAATCATGCAACCTAAACTTGAAAGGAGGAAAATGTATAGTCTTCCAAATGCACCGGATGCCTCGAGTTTTTTTGTTAATCACGATTTTTCTGTCGCGTTTTTAGAAAAACAGTCATCAAACGCAAAAAAATTGCCTCAAAACCTAACATCCGTGAATTTGCATACAACAATTGACAGATCAAACATTGAATCTGCGGTAGAATTTAAAGATAAAAAAACAATAAAATCAATGAACAAATCATCGTCACTTTCGATTTTGCCTAAAAGCGAAACAGTTCAACATCCTATTTCAACATTTGGGTCAATGTTATCTGCTACGTCAGCAATTAATAAACCTACAACTGTTCCTCAATCTGACAAACCAATAGCTTCTTCAAAGAACGATGTTAGATTATCAACTATATTTAATAATATTTCCTCACCAATATCTACGAGTAATTCAAGTGTAAGCGAATCATTACGGGATTCTCCAAATCTCACTAATCAAGAAGATTCTGGTAAACAAAGAGGTCGGAGAATTGCCAGACTAAGAAAAAATTTTGAAAAAAAATGTGGTTAGTTAATTTGTCATTTATATATACAATATATATGATGGTATATTATTGATATTAAAATTCTTCAATATATTGCATTATAAAACTACAGTGGCAAATATTGCCAACATGCTAGATCTCCCAAAAGTAGGTATCAAAGATTTACATTACGACACTCAACAACATATTGACAATAAAAGTCATGTTTTATTTCAAATCGGGCCTTTATTCGCAAAAGTTGAATGTATGTATCATCCATCCCCAATTTTACAAAAAGATCCTCGAATAAATGGATCATTCCTTACTTTTTCTCGCATTGAACATGCTCAAAATCCTAACGTGAATAATTGGTTTGAAGATGGACAAAGAATTATATTGCAATCTAGTCAGATAGGTCAAACTGAAAAAGTGCCATCATTATATGAAATGTTAAATGACCAATTTTTGGTGGACTTATTTCGGAATGAAAATGGAATTGTTCAATTTGTTCTTGTATATTTATTTACTAAAAAATATTTGTTTACAAAATTGATACGATTTTGTAATTCTATAATTCAAGAAAATATTGATTTGGCCTCTTATAGATTAGAAAAGATTGCAAATTATAGGAAAAAAGATCTATTGGTTATTGTTAGTGAAGACAGAAAAAAAGACTTTGAAGAACTTGGATACGAGGCTTGTTCCGAAAATTGGGCTTCTGATGTTAAACTTTGTGGAAATAATGTTTTGTTGTGTAAAAGAGTTGGATATACCAGTGATGGAAGTAACGATGATGACTGAAAACTTTGAAGTTCTTATCGTTATATTCTTTAGAATTCTTTAAATTATATATCAATATAACTTATCTCACATGATTTTACGGTTCATCTGATATGATCTGCGATAAATTTTCATTTCTTTTAAAATGATAAAAGTAATAAAAAATTTTATTGGCAACTTTAAATTTCTGTTAATAAAAGTTCAAAGATATGACTCTGTTCATTATAGATGTTATTCTTCAATTAAAGGTATCGGTATCATTTCACGTATAATAATTCTTTTATTTCACTTCAATGATTCTGATTTATCAAACGTAAAAATAACTAGGTGATTCAATCTCAAAAACAAGGAATATCGGTATAATTGCTCATATAGATGCTGGTATGTTAACTTTTCGTTACACTGTATGATGGTTTTAAGGTTCATTTTCTAATTTACTTTATAGGCAAGACGACTACTACTGAACGTATGCTATATTATGCTGGATACACTAGAAGAATTGGAGGTACTCGATCAGTGTAGTATATTTATCTAAATAATATATCTTTTCTTGTATTTACTATTTTATCCTCTCAAAGATGTAGATGATGGAACTACTGTGATGGACTATATGAAACAAGAACGCGAAAGAGGCATTACTATCACTTCAGCAACAATAACATTCGCATGGCGCAATTATCGTATAAATCTAATAGATACCCCAGGTCATGTGGATTTTACAGTGGAAGTGGAACGCAGTATACGTGTTCTTGATGGCGCTGTAACAGTTTTGGATGCTGTTGCTGGTGTTGAGGCACAAACCCAAACAGTTTGGACACAAGCGAATCGTTATAATGTTCCTAGAATAGCCTATGTTAATAAAATGGACAGAGTTGGTGCTAGATTTGGTAGAACCGTTAGGGAAATGAGATACAAGCTGGGAGCAAGGCCTTTGGTTTGTCAAATTCCTGTTATGCGAAAAGATAATCGTAGTTTGTTTTGTGGTATTGTTGATCTGTTAGATATGCATATATTAGATTGGAATAAAGATCCTAAAGGGTCTATTATAACCAGGACTCCACTAACTGATAAACACCCCATGGTGGGATTATATGACGAAGCGAAAAGAGGTCGTTCAAGTTTAATAGAAGCTTTGTCAGAAATGGATGACAATATGCTAGATTTATTTTTATCTACAGAAGATCATATGAAAATTTCTGTGGAAGATACAAAGCAGGCATTACGTAGAGTAACGCTGAATGGAAAAGCTGTACCAGTTTTTTGTGGAGCATCTTTTCGAAACATTGGTGTACAGCCTTTGATGGACGCCGTGGTTGATTATCTTCCTTCTCCTCTGGATCGTCCTTCTCCGATTGCAAGCTTATCTGGTGATGAATCTGTTGAAATCGTTCCAAAAGAGAGCGAAAAGTTATGTGCACTTGCGTTTAAAGTTGTACATGACAACAAACGTGGCCCAATGGTTTTTGTGAGAGTATATTCAGGTGAAAAAATGAGTTTGTAATTCGATTTATTTAACCTATTAGATTACTAAGATTTGCAATTTATTATATACTTATGCAGGTAAATTAGACAATAATATGACATTATATAATACAAATACTTGCCATAAAGAACGTGTAAACAAGTTGCTTCAAGTGTATTCAAATGATGTAGAAGAAATTCCATTAATCAAGGCGGGTAACATTGGTGTAATAATTGGTCTTAAAGAAACAAGAACGGGTGATACATTGATTCAATTTAATGACTCTCGGAAAAGTCTTCGACTACAAAACATTGATATTCCTGCACCAGTGTTTTTTCGCGTGGTAGAGGCTGCTGGTATTTCTGAAGAAAAACCTCTAGAAGAAGCTCTTAAAAGTATATTAAGAGAAGACCCCTCTCTTCATGTGTATATTGATCCAGATTCTGGGCAAACTTTGATAAGTGGTATGGGTGAACTTCATTTAGAGATCGTCAAAGACCGTTTGTTAAATGATTTTAAAGTCAAAGCAGAGTTGGGAAAAATGCGAATATCATATAGAGAGACTGTTACTGAAAAAATAGATTATACATACCTATATGAACGCGAAATTATGGGTAAGAGGGTAAGAGCTCAAATTGCCTTGATTATTACTCCACTCCACGAGAATGATCAAGGATCATCTAAAGAAGGTGGAAATAGAATCACTTTAAACCTTACAAAAAAAACAATTGTGTTGGATGAAATAGATCAGTCTATAAATAATCAAGGAACAAATGAATTAGTAAAATTATCTATTGAGGACATCTCTAATGCCGTGTATACTGGAATAATATCTGGTTTATATCGAGGTCCGATGCTTGGTTTTCCCATCACAGGGCTTTCGATAAATGTATATTCGTTACGTTTATTTGGTACAGAATCGACTAAAATTGCAATTAGCACGTGTGCCTCGCAGGCTTTGACTAATGCATTAAAAGATAGAAACCTTGTATTACTCGAGCCCTTAATGAATGTAAATATTGATGTACCTGAAGAATATTTAGGTGTGGTTCTTGGAGATATAACCGGAACACGTCGCGGAAATGTTTTGGCACTTGAAACGTCTGAAAGCGCATTCGATAATTTTGATCATAATATTGAAATATATGTTCCATCAGATTCTACATTCGTTTCTTCTAGTAATGATACAATTGTTAACCCCAAAAGAGTCATACGTGCGCATGTTCCGTTATCTACCATGTTGGGATATTCTTCTTCGTTAAGGTCGTTGACAGGTGGAACAGCAACTTTTGATATGAGGATACATTCTTTTGGGATTATGAATGATGATCGAGCAAAAGCCGTTATTCGTGAGATGCAAGGTGCCTTCTGATGAGATTTATATATTATGTCACGAGTGATATTATTTTAATTTTTTAATTTGAAGATTTGAAATTTGGATTTTTTAAAATAGTGCACCTGCACCATGGTGCATCCCTTATATAATACAAATAAATACATCTAATTGATATATATAATTTATATAACAGATATATATTATGCTGTTACACAAGGTTATGTGTTGTGTACACAAGATTATTGTGTTACACAAAGTTATATAATTCAACTAAAAAACCTGTTATGTGCTAATATACTTATTCTAAAGTATAATAGGTGCACCAAATTATAATTTCTTTAAAATTTTTGAAATTTTTTTTTTTAAGAATTAATTGATAGTAATAGGACATATTCTAATAAATTTTACCTATTAGTTAAATGAATTAGAAACATATACAGTCTAACCTCTCTATAATCACACCCTTGGTTTTAAAAATTTGGTGCTTATAGAGAGTTTGTGTCTATATAAAGGTTAAGTGTTATATAAGTTGGTTTTAAAAGTTATGTAATTATAAGCAAATGTAATTATAAAGGAGAACTGTATATTAAATTGATTTTCATCCTATTTGGTTGTCAGATTTTGCATAACCAAAACAAAGCAACTCTAGATTTTATTATAAAAACCATGATTCAATTTTTAAACAAAAATACTTAATGTTAAATTTTATATATATTCAAATTCTTTAAATTTATTTTACTTGTAATAAAAATTTTATAATACTGAGTGATATTATCTAAAATAAAAATTAAATATGAGAATTGCTCTTTGCATTATGGGTTTTTGCTATTCCAGTTAGACATATTACCAAAATTGAATATCAAATCTAGAATTTTCTACAAAAATTTAATTGGCTCTTATCAGTTCTTTTTAGCTTACTTTAAATAAAAAACTGCAGTTTTTCTTAATACTTATCTAGATTATAACTGTATGAGATAAGAGTAAAAATTCTTTAGTTTTATACTTTATTAACCTTTACTAATAATCTATAGATTTTCTAAAGTTATATAAGAGCTAAAATTTAAAGAATTTACATCTTTTAAAATTAATATTTGTTTTTTTTTAAAAAAATAAGTGCATCAAATTAAATTGTTATATCTTTTATCAGCATAACAAAGATTAAGAGTTAAAGATCTTTTATTTATATTTGTTAAACTTATTATTAATTACTTTGTTCTTGGATTAAAGTCTAATATAATGAAAAAATCACAGTATTAGCAGCATGTTAGTACTCAGAAGATAGTTAAGCAGCTTATATTATATTATGTTTTTATACTAAAACTTGGTAATTTTTATTTTTTAAAAAATTCTTATTTTATCTGTAAAAAACATTATAATCAAGTTGTATTAGTTAATTATTTTTATAATTAACTTTTAGATAATTCTATTTTTGATTATAAAAACAAACAGTTTTGAATTAATACTAATTTTATTTTTAAAAAGACAATTATTTCTAGTTTTAATTCTAGAAAAATAATTATGAATAATGAGTTATATCTAGAGAAAATAATTTGTAAATGTGTATTTAACTAATAATATTTTAGAATTAAAATAATAAATAGAAGACCTAAGGCTAAATATTTTAAAGTTAAAAAAGTAAATAAATATATATTGTAAAGAGATATTTTAGTTAAAACAATAACATCAAAAAAATATAAAAAAAATTAAAGTTTTATTAAATAACAGAATTCTTTTATTATGATTAAAATAAAGATGTATAAGAAATTGAAATTATTATATAACTTGAATAAGAATCTTGTATAAAAATATTAAGTCTTTAATAAAAAATAATAACCAGTTTTTTTTAAAAACCTATTGAATTATATACTACAAATATGGATAAGTAAATATAACCAAGTTATTATAAAGTTTATTTTTTATTTTATTTTATTTTTTTTAAAGGCCATACTTGTAGTGATACTTTATTAACTTACATTGGGTTAGCTATTACAACTATTTTTACAGAGATGAGAGTACAGCTAATCACAAATGCAACTTTTGGTTGCCTATTTAAGTAGTCTGCTTTAAGGTTCTATACTAGATGCCATACCTATAACCTACTAGGAAATTATTCATTTAAATCTTCAAATCATCCACTCTGTCATATTGGAATCTTCAACTTATCCTCCATATATATCTAACCAATATACTGTCTGAGCAGTATGATTACCTACTTTTTTTGTACTGATTTCCAGACTGTTACACATTTTAGAATACATCATCTGCCAGTAAGACACTGAGGCCCTTTATTGTTAACTATCTATTTGTTTTTAAAACACTAACATGGACTACCCTTACAGAGTTCATCCAGACCCCAGTACTGACTTTACAGTATATTTCTAATACTTTTAGTATATCTTTGTTTTGATCCCAGACTCCCAATCCAGATAGTCTGAAAGGACTGTAACCTGTTTTTGGTATATTAAGACTGTCTCAATATTCTTTTTCTTTGGTTCAAAATCTGGCAGCCTGGTTGGTGATACCCCTCACCTGAGGTTCTTGCTTACCTGAATTCTTCATATTGGTATTCATTTCTTAGGTCTAACCTTTACAGTAATACTGTTAAAAAACTGTGTTATCTCTTTGCTCAGAATTTTCAAGTGGGTTCTAGCTTCTCAGTTCTATAGATTTACATAGACTGAGGACTTATTTTAGGTTTGCACCACTCAGTACTAGTTTGCATTTCTCTGTATAACAGGTTACACAGATGCTCCAAACCTGCCAGTCATGCTGGTGCAATCATAGTTACAGGTATCCTATTTCAACTAATTAACAGAATGCTATCATCATAATATCATCTATATATTACATAGGTAATTATTCAAATTTTGTTATCAGTAGGTTTTGAACTCACAACCTACTACTTGAAAATATGACAACTTATCTACTTTACTAAGTTGCCACATCCTATTATAAAGTTTATTAAAATATTAACTAATAATAATTTTAATAACACAGATTTCTTAAATACTAAAAAAAATATCATTACATCTAATATCTATTAGACAAAAAAAAAATTAAACACAACTCTCCCTGACGATCACTCGTACCGAATTTCACACCAACAAAAACGGCAA